CTATGTATCTGTGATGGCAGTAGCCAGGATGCAGGTTAGTGCCGGGTTTGAACAGGGCTATAGTTGTGAATTCCTTAAAATTCAGGGAAATGTTTTATTCAACTAAAAGTCTAAACAACAACAATAACGCTTAGCTGTACGATAGTATTGTGGTATACCTCGGTATTGAAATTTGGCTATTGTATTTAAGAAATATGATGGTGTTTATATATTAACGTGGTTCCTACAGCTTAAGGCAAGGTAAATTTAAGACTTTTTAAGACCTCTTTACAGAGGTGCCAACCTGGAGCCATCCCAAATCATAATGATTGTCTCAGAGCGTTTGCATCACGCGGCGTGCGTTCGTTATTGGCAAATTGTGCGCATAATAAAAAATATATGGAATTTATATCTTTAAACTTTAAAGTATTCATACAAACCTACTTATTTTTAGATGGAGATTATAAGTAACTAGTGATAAAACAGAGTTTATAAAATGGGTGCTTTATGAACATAACTTTGCTAAACAGTACATACATCTATCCTATTATTGGGCCTCCTTTATTCATTCACTCTTCTATAACCAGACTCAAAACAGCTGAAGATGAATTTGTAGTCACAGGGAATTCTTGTCACAATATTTAAACTGAATAAGGAGGAAACTATATTTGTCTTTTAAAAATACTAACAGATGAATAGTCTTGTCCACTACTGAGTCTGGCTCCTCTCGGCTCAGTTCGGGCTGGTTCGGAGCAGTAACGTCTTTTAAAAGTAGCTGCTGTGTATATTGTCTAACTTTTATTTTGTGCAATAAAGATACTATCTGCTGTTTGTTTTTCATTTGAGTTAAATCCATAAGGAAAAAAATAAACATATTTACTCACACTCCTAGGTATAAAGTGTGCAGTTACTGTAATTTAATTTATTAGAAAATCATTTTGGTTTTGTTTTACTGCATTTATAAGCAACGGTTTGCTGTAGCAGGGTATTTAGTCTGTAAATAATACTCATACCAGGAGTATCAGCTGGTCACATGTCGAAGGTGACTCTGAACAGAAAACCAATGATTAGCCTCGAATACGGTCAAAATTAATTACTAATTACAATAAATGTAAAGCCGGGGCTGTTGTTTTTAGCCTGGATCGTTAACTAGCAATAGCCGCTAGCTGCTAACTAGTTAGCAACGGAAACGAACACGCACAAAGGACACATCGGAACAAACTTTATAAATAAAAAGGTACAGTTTCACAAGCAAGACACGTGTCCCATAATTACGTTCAATATCTCACTAAATGCATGAAACACTCACTGTCTGCAGATGACGTTTGTGAAGAGACCAGTCTACAGTAGCAGCAGCTAGCTAGCTAACTAACCGGTGTCTGTAGAGAGCGATCCCCTCCATTTACCCACAGCAGCTTCCCACGGCTTTGAGCCACTCCAGCTGTTGTTGTGGTCCTTCACTGCTCTGAAATGGGCCCAATATATTTTTAGCTTCTCCCAGCGCACTGCCATCATTTGGAACTACGTCATCCAGGCAGCTTCACTGGCCAATCATGACTGCTACACACTTAGGCACCTCCACGCCCCAAATGGTGCCGGCCTCAGTACTACCTCGAGAGGAGGTCCGAAAAAGTGGGCCGAGTGGGTCTTTCCACTGTGGCCGGGAGCCATAGTAGAAAGGCCAAAAACAGATGCGGAGTGGGGTGGAGCCAAACCAAACCGCGTAGGTGGAAAAATGCTGCTGCAGCGGGAGGGGGTTCCCAGGAGCTCGGCGCAAGGCCAGATCATAATAAATGTCTAGTACGCCGTAATGGTTCAGAGCGGGTCTCAATAATCTTAATGATTACGGTGAGATCGTAATGGTTGGCACCCCTGTCTTTAAAGCCTCTTGAAATTAAATTTAAGACCAACTTCACAATAAACAAATGTGGAAAAAAAACCCTGTTAGCAACAATTTTATCCAAATGTTTATTTTAACACAAAACAACCAATATTTGAATCATTTGTTATTAAATTATTTAAAGAAAAATAAAGAAATGTTACCAATTATTTTAATATTTGAGACAAATTACAATCATCCTTACAATGTGTTAACATTTTTAAGACCTCTGAAAGATTGATTTAAGACATTTTAAAGCAAATTAAGGCCTTAACTTTAGATTGATGAATTCAATGCCTTTTAAAGGAGACATATCATGCTAAATGCACTTTTTTTTACATTTATACACTATTTTTTGTGCAATTATAGTGTCTAGGAGTGTAGAAAACTTTAATTTATTCTGTCCAGTTACTGCAAAGATATTTTTATATTTTTTATGGGTCAAATTTTTCAGTTTGTTCAAAATCTGCTGTTGCTTATTTCGTTTCATTGTTTATTTCATCACACTTTTTTCTTCAGAACTACCATTTATGGTAAAGTATTTCCAGCCAACTGGATTTCATAGTCTGCCATTTTTTTCCTCGCTGTGATTTTGTAGTTCATAGCGTCATGCCAAATATGGAAGTTCAGAAGTCAAAATGTTCAGTTCTGGGTGTGTAAACCCACATTATTATCTACATAGACTACCAGATTCAGAGCTTCTTCAAAGTGCCTGGTTAAGTTTTATTTTTCAAGGAAATGGACCCACAACAGGGCGGAAAGTGCTTGCGGACAACACAGGATGAATGTTACAACAACAAGGGTGAGTTATGAACTGTAAATGTGTTTTAACTGTCTAATTTAGCTGTTTCTACCCTCTGTGTCGGAATATGAGGGGAGAAAGAACAGCTGTGTTTAAGTGTCTTTACCGAACGGGTGCTCAGCACCATGTTTTACTTTCACTTTCGCCCCACACTGTAATCAGGGTGTCGGTGTTGTTTATCTTTTTAAAAATGCTGGAGCGTTTCAAACTGTGATCTAAAGTTAACGTCAGCTGTTTTAAACGCATTTTTTGCCTGGTGTTAAAAACGGGAGCAGCAGAATGAGGCAGAAAAGCTGTGAGCGCTGTGTGTGCGAAGTCCTCATAAGGATAGCAAGATAGATGTGTGTCTCTCCTTTTTTCTCTGTCTTGCTTTTTTTGCATCGAAAAAGCTGGGGACATAGTCGTTTTATGTAACAAAATATATTAATCTTATTAATATACAAATAAAAACAGAATATTTAGCACTAGATAAAATAAGTAATGAATTTATTTATTTTTATTTTAAAGAAGAAATCCTGTGTGGCAGCTCTTAATACAGCCTCTTCAGAAAAGGCTTAGTTAATAAATGTTTTTTTAGTTTGTTTTGTTTTAAATTAAGACTTGTGTAACATTTGTTATCATTCTTATCTTTATCATGTTAATGGAGGGAGGAAGAAAAAGTAGTATCGGCTTCAAGAATCGGCCAAAAAAATATTGGCTGCAGTGTTGTTTTAGTCACTCTGTATTTATGTTTTTTTTGTTATTCAAAATACTGTGTGTTAGATGAGTTTCAATGGTGCAACTTCAAACTAATATGTAATATTCTTTTATGCTATTTTAACCAGACTGTACCTGGCTGCAATGCATTTCAATGAAAATGCATGTCTGCTGGCAACTACCTCATCTGGAGAGCCCATGTAGATWATTCTTTCCCAAGTTCAAGAAGGGAGAAGGCACAGCAAAGCCTATCAGAACTCCTGAAACCCTAAGTAAGTCTTACCACATTAGTCACTTTTGGTATGCCAACTTGATTTCAATAAGCCAAAATCAGCCATACTTTAATTATATCTACCTTATTCAAAGTCGTGTCACAAGGGCATGTGATGTGTGAAAGTGTTAAATGAGAAACTTTTCCTCACAATTTTAAACAAAAATTACAAAAATAAGTGACACTTTACTGTTTCTACTATGCAAAGACTCTGCAAATTTTAATGTTGTTGATGTTTTCCAAACTGTGCTATGGATTCATCTCCAGTTGTCCCAGACAAGGCCAGCATCTCCACACTACCTCCTGATGCACGCATCTTTACTACACGTCCTGATGCCACATCTTCACACCACCCTCTGCATCACATCGACCTTCACAACAGGATCACACATACAGTATGTGTAAATGTGCATTGGTACATTACTATATATCACGTGTATATTGTGGGGTTTTGTTTGTTATCTTTTATTAATCTTTCATTATTCTTCTCAGCCTCGCTTGTATTAAGCTGCAGTAATGTGCAAATTTCCAGACTGTGGGATCAATAAAGTTTTATCTTATCTTATTTTATCTTAAAAACAGTTTTTAGTCTGTAGATAACTGTTTTTTTGCTATGAAACTATAAATATGGCCGAACGGGGTGGAGTCGAACGCTCAGGGACCTGGAGGGGGCGGGGTGTGAAATATCTCATTTGTATTTAAAGAGGCCTCACCAAAACAGCTTGCTCTGAGGCGCAACTCAGAATAGAGGTAACGCAAGGAAAGCAAGGAGTTTGTGGAGCAACAAAAACGAGGAATTAAGACCAAAGCGTTGCAGTTTTATTTTAAATAGACCATAAGTGAATGATTTAGACGTGAAAAAGAAGGATTTAAAAGCTTGATATGATACCTTTAAGACTTTTTAAGGATCCGTGGGAACCCTGATTAACCCTCTGGAGCCCAGTCACATGACCTATTTAAATTGCTTTAGCTGGAAAAATAGGTCCTCTCTGAGAATGTTTCAATTTGTGTCAAAAGCAGAGACATCCAATTATACACTACTTTATAAATTGTGTTGGTAGGACTACAGAAACATGGCTGAGCATTAGCATCTTTAGTCATATTAACTTTAACAATGAAACTTCAGAGGGAACAATACCAGGCTGTTGTTGACATTATTTTAACCAGAGGATGCACCATTCATACCTGAATAATTTCTGTTTTTGTATGCAAATAACGTTTCATGAGACCTAGACCGTTCTATATACTGTATATTTACAAAGCTGACATTTTAGGAAGCTGAACAAAAAAATAAACACCAGCCAGCCTCCATTTGCACTGAGATTAGTCACAGCATGTTCTGTAAATATTAGACTATATTTGTGCCCTCTTACCGTCCGACCACTTGGTGTAAGGGCTCCATTGGTGAGGTAGGGACTGCAGAGGTTCCCAAGGTCAGGAATCATGAAGAATGGATACCCGACATATGGAGACTGGAAGAAGCCTGCACCCTGCTGCCTCCTCAGCGCTGAGCAAAAAATAAAAAAACATTTCAAAGACCAAACAAAGTCACTTCATGTTTATGTTACTGTGGTTTAATGTTAAGAGTTTTTGAACTGCACAGCCCGGCCCAGTCTGGGTTCAAACCCAGGTTTGGTCTTTTTGCATTAGCCCTTAAGGCCCAGATTCACACTGATTTCTGGAACCTCGAGAGCTGTGGTTCTAATTGGGCTGGGCTGCTTGGTCTAGTTTGACGTTAGCCTGCTGACTGATTGGTTCACTCACAGGGGTTTACGCGACACTGATGTATGTGAAGAGAGTAACTTTACGTGTATTGTTTGCAACGACTAACTTATTTCTCCCCACACGGGTTTAACTACACTACAACAGTAGCGAGCTAATAAGCTAACATTAGCTTACTGTTCTCTATTGTCCTACCTTCTCGTCTTAAGTGTCATTCTGCTGGATGGTCCGGTTCAACATTCGGCACTTTTCCTTCAAGTTTGGTGTAGTCTATTATTGTTTTGTTACAAATAAAATGAAATAAGATTGTGCATGTTTAATCTCATGATCCCGCCCACATCAAGGCAGCTCTCCGCTCAATCGAAACACAACCTGGACCGGAGTAGAGCAGGGCCGGGCCATCTAGAGCTGGGGTGGGCCAAAGCGGGCTTTACAATGCAAAAACGCCTTGTATCTGAATAACAATTTCTGTGAAATCTGTGTAGACAAACACAGCTCCATGATGTACTGAAGTCATCGGGTGTCTGAAATAAAGTTTAATAGAATGCTGTGTGTGATTTACAACACAAAAATCAGCCCAGTCTTCATGGTGAGTGCAACTATTGTGTAGCTTGTAAAAACTATAATGGAATGTGTTGTAGGTTGTAACACCGCAGGGAGCTAAGGTCTGAGAAAATAACTCTCATAATGTCACCTCAGGTTCTGGGAAACAGATTCTCAGAAAAATTTAGAATCACATTAATGCCAAAGAGTGAGAAAGCTGTTTAAGCTTACAATTATTTATGAAATACAAAAAATACATACAAAAACAAATTCCTAAAAAGTATCAGTAATTAGCTGTAGCTACAATAAACAGCTTCAAAACTGACAAATTAAAGTGCATTATAACCTAGAAACCATAACAACAATGGCATTGTATTTACTGGTTTCTTTACGTATGGTAAGATCTGTTCAGACTCTGTCACCAACAAAATTTGTGTAGAGATAAAGTAAAATATTGAGAGGAAATGGTAAGCAACTTAAAATAAAAAGGCTGTAGTTGTTAAAGAGATTCACTTGCCATGATTCTTTTAGCCAATCGTAAGTCATTTTATTAGACCCGCAGCTAATCTGGATGTTATCACCACCTTCTGGCGCTGCATGTGTACGTCAGCGTGTTTGGGAGTTTTTGCATCTTTTCTTTGGGCAGAGATTTTATTTCAAACAGAACAAAAAGGGAAAAACTGTTATCTGAAAACAATATGCAGTGCCTCAGGTGTCAACTCAATGAATCTTGATTCTGAGTCTTGTTTGTCTTGCAAAAAACATTACTTACATATACAGATAGACAGATAGACAGATAGACAGATAGATAGATAGATAGATAGATAGATAGATAGATAGATAGATAGATAGATAGAATCAATTGGAACAATCACTCATACTTTGATTCTCACCAAATAACATTTTATTCTTGGTTCAGTTATATTTTATTATATAGATGACAAATCTAATCTTAGATCAATAGCTGTCACTGTTACTATGCCCAATAGTTTTGATTGGATATTAACATACCAAACTTATTTATAATTTGTGGACCTAGTTAGTTTCTATTGTAAAATAAATAAATTAAAAATCAAGAAAACGATGAACCAATGAAAATTTTATTTCACATCTTAAACTGCTATCCAAAGTACTGAGAAATTGCATTCAAAACTAATTTTTTTTACTGATTAAAGTCATGTTTATGTTTACATAAACATGCAACAGTTAAACTGGTTTTAACTATCCTGGTTTGATCAAATTAAGTGATTTTCTTAAGCTGAACATTAACAAGTTAGGATAAAACTGGTACCAAATCAATGATTAAATACAAACTAATATAAATATATTCAGCCCTGACAATGCAGCCTTAATTGAATTTGAAAAAGGGACAACATCAAACCCATCATGTCCCATACCTTCTTCAAACAGCTGGCTCTGCCTGGCTCTTTCCACATCTGGATGAAGCTTGGGACGTCTGTCAGCCTGCAAACAGAGCCACAAGTCAATGCAGACCTGCCAGATAACAAACCCTCTTTCCCTTTTTAAATTAGCTCACTTAACTCACCTCCGAGTCAGAGCTGCTGTTTGTCTCCGACTCGTTGACAAGAGATGACTTGACATCGTCCAGATCCCGCTCACCAGACACGTTCCGCTTCTCCTCCTGCTCCCCTTCGTCTTTAAACGAGATCAGCTCATCGTTCGCTCCCAGGTCGTCCCCGTCTCCGTTCAGCTGCGGCATGTTTGGATGTTAGCTGCGGAGGCTAACGGTGAGTTGGACCGACTTTTACACTTTGTACAAAACAGGCTGGAAAACCTCGCAGAAAGTGTTCAGCTCTGAGGAGCTGGGTAAAAAACTGTCCAGAGTCAGTGATAATACAAATTTAGGTGTCTAGGTTTGTTAGGTCGGTGTGTAAACATAAAAAATAACACAGTCCCCAAACTAGCTAACAAGCTAGCTAGCTACCTGCAAAGTTCACGGACACTTCAGCTGCTGGCGTCGAATTCCTGAGGTGTGGAAATCCGTCTCCAGATTGTATTTACTTAAAAAAAAAATCAGCACGTGAAATATAAAGCACTGTCATAAAATATTCCAAATCGTTAAAAAATATCCCGAAAAATTGTCGTCAAAAACTCGAAATCCATTGTTTTGTTTATAAACCCGAACGCAGTCCAGAAAAGTTCAGGTCCAGTTTTGCAGAGTTACTCCAAGGATAAGTCGAGTGAATTCCCTCATCGGTGCTTCGGTTTGGAACCAGCATAGTTTACCACGGACAGTAATTAAAAAAAAGAAAAGATTATAATTTCCGCATGGTACGGAGTTCGCCTGTTTTTGTTAGCTTACTGTGGAGGCGTGGGAAAGAGTCGGGCTGGTCGGTGGCTCTCGAATGGAGTGAAAGGAAAGGGCTGCTGCGGGGCTACCATCGCGGAGGGAGGAAGGGAGGGAAAACCCGCAGGTCTGCGCCGACCTGGGACCAGTTGAAGCGAACAACAGCGCGGGGCCTGCACGCTTTAACGAGCACGAGGACACTTAGTCAAACTGATTCCAGATCAGGCACAACAGGTTGCTGCTCGTTAATGGCAGAAGAGGCGAAGAAAGAAAAGAGGGGAGGAGTTTAGGTGGAAAAATTATACTTTTTGGAGTTTAAAGAAGCAGTTACGCACTTTTTTTTGACCTTGTGACCCAAAACTGGATTACCCAAAGCAAGCAACAAATAGCAACTAAATTGTTATTAGATAGAAATAGAAAATTGTAAAATGATGTGTGCAAAGGTGAAATACTACTGCAAATGATGAAATCAAATCAAAAAGAAAAAAATTGTATAGGTCCTCTGGACGGATTCTTCTCTAATGAAACGTTTCGTCTCTCCTCCAAGAGACTTCTTCACTCTGAGAGTTTCAGGCAAAATTCAGGCTTTTAAGCCCTGCCTCCATGTGACTGATACTCACATTACATAGCTATCGTTGACACCTAATTAGCACCTATTGTTAACAGGGGTGGAGTGATACTGGCAATAGCAGCACTGTAGGAGAGGGACAACTGAAAACGGAGGCCTCCACCTCTGTTTAATGATGGACGGTCTTTCTTCACAAAAATGGCTTCTTTTACTCCTCTCTCAAACCAACGTTCCTCTCTATCAAGAATGAGAACATCCTCATCTCTGAAAGAGTGACCGCTGGCCTGTAAATGAGTGAAAACTGCAGAGTTCTGGCCATTAGATGTAGCTCGTCTGTGTTGGGACATTCTTTTGAACAGTAGCGGCTGCTTTGTTTCCCCGATGTATAACTGGTCGCAGTCCTCCTGGCACTTAACAGCATATACAACATTGCTCTGTTTGTGCCGGGGCACCGGATCTTTGGGGTGAACCAGCCTTTGCCGTAATGTGTTTTGGGGTTTGAAAGCTACTGGGACATCATGTTTAGAAAATAAACGTCTCAGTTTCTCCAAAACACCCGCAACATACGGAATAACCACTGGTTTGGGTCTGCGTTTGGGGTTGAAATCAAATAATAAATAAAGTTACCAGGTAATATATCAATTGGTGCAGTTTGAAAGAGTTAGTTTTTCAGGTAGGTATTCTTTTCTGAAATGCGGGTATGCGGTTACTGTAAACAAAACACTTGGCTGAATCATTTGGAAACCCCTTAAAAGCTTGACTCACTTTATTGACCCACATTAGACTGGCTGTAGTCTGTGTAGGTCAACTACCGGACATGTAAGTTTACTGTTTCAACATGTTTTTAACTCTACAGTAACACCCAGAACATGAAGGTATAACATAAAGCGTAGCTCATGCTTATAAAACTACTGTATATTCAGTACCAAAAGAGAGAGGGGGGGAAATCTGCCAGACTTCCCATTCTCACATGGATGTAGACTTTGCCACTGTTGACTTTTTTTTGTCACTTTGGCTATTTCAATAGGTAAACAAACAAATTGTGCTCACCTTTTTACATTTAAAAATCCATTAACCAGTTATATGAGAAAAATATAGTTTGGATTTTTCTTTTTAAAACATGCTTTTTACAGGTCTCTGACATTTCATTGTGTACCTTGAAACCAGTTTTTAACACAAACACTGGAGAAGTTCAGGAAAAAACAGTCGGGTTCAGATGTTTTCAGCAGTTTCTAAAAGAAGTTTTCTGCTGGAGATGTGCTCTCACAGCTGGAAATGCAAGTGCGGAGCTGCAGGGGAAGTGTCTGTTTGAACAAGGGTGTCAAAGAAAATGGAAGATAAGATTACAGCCTTTGTGTGCATGTCAATAGCGTGTTTAAATGTGTCCCCAAGATCAACAAGCAAGTGAAAAGCAATAGCAAAAAAGAGTCACTTTTATCAGCTTGTCCACTGTAAATGCTCTGAAAGATACAGCAGGTAAAATAAGTATTGAACACATCAACATTTTTCTCAGTAAATACATTACTAGAGGTGCTAATGACATGAAATTTTCACCAGATGTTGGTAACAACCCAAGTGATCCATACATACAAAGAAATCAAACCATAAATG